TCTTCCAAATCGGCATCCCCACCTGAAAAAGTTAACGGGCGGTTGTACAGAAAGACGTTCTTCACAGTCACAGACACGACTTCTTGGACCTCTGCGCTGTCTCCAACCCCTCCAATGTAGAAGTGCGAGATCTCTTCCGAATCCGCATTTTCCAATTCACATGGCGCAGCACCCACGCGCTTACCATCAACGTACGCAGAGCCCTGGGTGCCGTTCTGTAGCACAATGGCCACCTGGTGTGCTGTCCCTGCTTCCCAATGGCTGCTGAGCTCATTGGTCGTGTCGCCACCGCAAAACAATTTCCACTTCTTTCCGCTGTTGTACGACAACTCCATAAGTTTGGTTTCTCCTTTACTGCCCGCACGCACACCCATCAATGGAATGGGGTTATCTCCCTCCGGCGCCTTGTCGATGGACACCGTCGCCACAAGAGTGAAGTTGCAGTTCGCAAAGTGGTACAACTGATTCTCCCCCTGCCTGCCAACGGGCCACTCCGCCCACGCTCCCCGGAAATTCACGCCGTCTTTCGCCTTCTCAGCTCCACCATTATGATTCACCGTGGCGTTCACCCCGAGGTACTCGTCCCTCCATGTGCTCCCAGAGAAGTTGTCGGACAAAAAGCCAACCAGCCCAGCCGTGATCTCCCCGGCGCTGCAGTCATTCTCAGTCAAGGCACTCTTCGCAGCACTTGCAGTGGGGCACAGCTTGGAGACAGCTTCGTCCACTTTCTTCCACGTCGCCAGCACCTCCTTCACCCGCTTCAGCTGCTCAGTCAGACGCACAGACCAAAGACCGTGTGATGGCTTCTCATCGCCCTTCTTCTTCTCGTACAGTGCAATCAACTTATCCTCCTCATTATTATTATCTTCACCTTCAGCACTTTCGTACAGCAGGGAGCTGGCGGCAACTTCGTCTTCGTCCTTCTCGGACACGGGCCCAATATCAGCAATGCGCGTATTGTCCGTCAGCCAAAGGTGGAGTTCACTCTTTTCCTTTTTTTCGCTGCCCTTCTCCTTAGAATACACCGGCAGAGTAACGAGCATCACTTTTTTGTTGTCATCTCCAAGAGTCGCTGTGGTGAACCCGCTCGCAACACGTTTCGTCTGTTCCTCGTGTTTGTTGCCCCACACGCGCGAGAGTGTCCCGAGTGCCTCCGTCCACGACTCCCCCTTTCACCGGACTCGTACACCCTGCGGCGGCCATCATCGCACGCAGTCATCATCATGAGTTTCTCCTTCTCCCACTCCACGACGGAGGGATCACCGCAGCCACCGTCAGACATCCCCTTCGACAGCTTCCAACTCGAATCATCCGAAGTATCCGAAGTGTATACGAGCAGTGAGACACTCTTTCCTTCCTCTCCGTCGTTTTCTGATTCACCCTTCTTCGTTACTTCCACGGGAAACACAAGCGTACCGTCCTCCATCTTAACACCCGATCCACCGCCTGCAACCAGCTGCATCAAGGAATCCTGTTCGCGCTTAAAGAGAGTGTCGACCAGTCGCTGGTTCACATTCCATCGGATTCTCTTGTTACTGCCACTGTCCCCATCACTGACTTTCCCTTTCGCCAGCAAAAGTCCCCACTCACCTGCGCCCCTCTCCTGAGCGTCTTTAGCAGCTGCTGTCCGGCTGTATTTTCCAGCAAGCATGTAAATATCAGTTCCATTCACAACTGTTGTTGGTCGGCTCACATCTACTTTCTTTTTCTTTGCGGGAGCGCCCTCCTCCAGGACTTGTGTATCCTTTTTGGCCTCATTCAGTACTTCCACCGGTTTTTTATCCGTTGGATCCGTGAGAAGTTCGGATGCAATGCCTGTAAAGCTGCCTTCACCTCCTTTATTGCACTGCGCCTCGGCGACGGCAAATACGGCAGTCCCCACTTTTAGAAGGCCGGGAACGCCCAACGAGTCCACAGTTACACCCTCATCACCAGTGGTACTCCTCCATTCAAACGTTGGATCCGCCACTGAATCGCTGTTCTCCACAGCGGCTGCAGCTCCACTGCCACAGCAAAACATCACGAAGAGGAGGAGCACGCGGAATTAAACACATGCCGGGACATGTTGGGCCTCTGCGGCTCACTCTCTCTTCCTTCCCTCCTCCTTCCGCTGGATCCGGTCACGCGGCAACGGTTGTGTGTGCGGGGTGCCTTCACCGCAGCAACACGTGGGAGCATATATGTGCGTGGGCGGTGTGTGTGTGTGTTGTTGGTCCTTTCAGAGCCTTCCAACTTCACAGTAGCGTTTAGCGCTTTTGTTTTCTTTCTTCGTGAGATAGTGAGCGGGAAATAAAAAGAGGAAAAAAGCCACCAAAAGAAGTAAAGGAATAAGCACCGCCAGCATCCATAGTGAGTGGCACCATCATCCGCGCCGCAGTCAATCCCCACAACAGCAACTCACGCGCACAGACACACGGCACAGGGGAAGAAAGAACAGTGCACCGGGAAAACAGAGCGACTGTCACCACCAGCAGCAGAAGACACGGCGTGTGTCGTCCGTCACACGTCAGTACACACCAAGCAATGCCCACACAAAAAAAGCGGAATGCCAAATGGCGCAGCCACCCTTCGCAGCACACACGCGCTGCCGCCAGTCGTTTCACTGTTGTCTCTCCCCGCACAGCCGGAGAGTCCCTGACCGACGTATCCACAGCGGGAGAGACACGTCGGCACGCGCAGCTGCACGGCAGGAAACAGTCCGCACTTGTCCCAGGCACTCTCCATGCCACACCACTCACCGGCCGCACGCCGCAAGCACAACAACTGCGTCAAAAAGGCAAATCGCGGTCTCCCGTCCTCCCCAATCGTGAGGGCCGCCGCAGCCAGGATCATTTGCGTTCTCAGCGTGCACGATACGAAAGGGCGTTCGTGTGTGTGCATGTGATTGGCGGCCTTTATACTTGCAGAGCAGCTGTGCGGCACAACAGAGCCAAAAGAAAGCAATGGCAGAGAGAGGCAGATAGCACACACACAAATTACTCATATCGTCCCACACACACACATGCAGCCCGCGGAATGGGTGCACTCAACCACAAAATCAAAAAGAAAAACAAAACAAAAAGCCAAAGCGTGGGGGCGTCCACCCAGCAGTGGGGACGCGCAGCAACAGGTGGGACGACCAGCGCATACACTCTCATTACTCCCGTAAAGCAAAACACACACACAGAGGGAGAGAGAGAGAGGTCACCCACTCAATGCAACGGAAACAAAACAGAAACAGTTACGGTGCTCCGCCCATGCAGCCAGGCAGGACGGCAGCGGTGCGTGTCGTGCAAAAGAAAGCACCAACGGGCCTGCATGGGTGTGCATGCATATATACAATGGGCACATTATTGTGTGTGCATCGTGGAGTGAGGTGAGGGCGAGAGTCCATGCAAGGGGACACACACAGAGAGAGAAGGAGTGAAGGACGAGTGTGTGTGCGGGCGGTGCATGGCTCTCTCTCCCTCACTCTCACGCGGCCACCACCGCAGCAGCCGCACACGCAAGAAGAAGAAGCAAAGGAGGGGAGGTGGTGTGGGAGACCGCGGTGCTGCCGTCACTGCTGCCAGGCGTTGCCGTACCATCTGTTCTGGCGGTAGCTGCTGCTTTCGCCGTACGTGGTTTTGTCTCACTGGCTGTGGGCGCAGCGTTGGTATGGCTGGCTTCGGGGTCGTTGTGTGGCCCTCCGGGGTTGGGCCCTTTGCTGTTGCCGTCATTCTCATCCGCCCTACTCCGGCCATCACCACTGCCACTTGTAGAGATGGATGATGCCGTTACTTCCGCCGGGCTGCCGGTAGGTCCACCCCTCAGATCCGGTAAAACAGTGCCTTGACCCTGTTGCTCTGCCACACCATCTCCAGAAGTAGGCTCCGTCTCTTCAGGCTCCTTTTTGTTTGGTGACGGTGGCGTTTTTGTCCTTTCTTCTTTCAAAGTTTGCGAGTCTGTTTGTGCCGTTGGGCTTCCTCCTGCCGGAACTGCCACTGCTGTTGGTCGTTCTTCTCCTACCGTTGCTGGCGCTGGCGGTGGACATCACGGTGGAAGGACCTTGTGTCTCCGCGTCACTCCGCCGTTTCTCGTCTCCAGTTGCAGCCCTACCAGCAGCTTCACTTTCTGGTTTTTCTTGTTTACTGGGAGAGTCTTTTTGTGCTTCGGGTGTTGACTCCGCTGGTGCCGACAATTCGGGCAATTCGTTCCGTGCACG